CGCGCCCCCGGGGCGGCCGGGCCGCTCCGTCCACCCCTTGCTCAGGCCGTGCCAAGAGGAGTAGAGCTGCGGCGGGCACGAGGTCAGCGCTGTGCCAGCACCTGCCACTGCGCCGCCCGCCCGGGACCCCCAGCATCCCGACCTGGACCCCAGGACACCATCCCTGGATCCCCAGGACAGGACCCCCATCCTTGTCTCTCTGGACACTCACCTATAGGGCTCCAAGGAAACTCACTGCGGGCTCTGCAGGATGCCCAGCCCCAGCTCCCCCCAAGCTTTCACCTTGTGTGCCCTGGAGCCCCCATTCCTGTTTTCCTGAACACCAAGCACTCGTCTCCCAGACGCCCCCACCCTTGCACCTCCTCACACCCCTAACCTCCAGGGCCCCCATCCCTGGGACTCCCAACCTCGTGGATCCCCAACAGACATCCCCCATCCCAGACATCCAGGGCAGCAGCAGGAGGCCTCGGGGACGCCCCATCCTCATGACTGGTGCCCAGGAGTGGCACCCACGGCCCCTTGCCGGAACCCCCAGGCCAGACCCTGCTGGAGCATCCACCTCATCCAGACTCCTGGTGACGTCGGGCTTGTCGGGGTCCCCGCAGGAAGACACCAGCTCCATGCCGAGGATGCCCAGCGTGTCCAGCTCACCCTGCAGGGCGTCGATGTCCTCACGCAGCGCCTGCGCGTGGCACAAAGCTCAGCGCCGGTGCCCGCGCCGCCCGTGCGGCGCGGCCCCTGCAGCCCCCAGCTACCTGCATGGTGCGGAGCCGCGCGCGCACGGCCTCGGGCTCGGCGCCCGCCTCCTCCAGGCCCAGCACCAGCTGCTGCGTGTCGCCCAGTGTCAGCGCCAGCTCCGAGAGCCCCTGCCAGAAGCGGTCGGCCAGGGCCAGCAGCTCCCGCAGCCGGCGCTCCCGCTCCTCGCAGCGGCTCCGCAGGCTGCTCCACTGCGACAGCAGCCGCTCCGTGCGCTCCTGGATCACTGCAGGGGTAAAGTGCATGCGGCTCAGTGCATGATCATGCTGAGACGCTACATGCACAGGAATGCTGCATGCACAGGGATGCTGCGTGCACGGGGATGCACTCAGGTGCATGCATGGCCTGGCAGGGCCGGGGTCCCTGCAACAGCAGCATCGGAGCTGGCTGCCTGCATGCTGGCCAGCAGCTCGCTGCCCTGTGCCCGCACCGTCTCCAGCGCTGCCCCCAGCTTCCCCAGCTCAGCCCG